TACACAAACACATTATGGATAGGGAGAGTGACATGTTAACAGGTATATATAATGCTCAATATAAAGAAAATGATCGTTTACACATATACAATTTGGACAATTACACAGTAATAAACTGAAAAGAGTTATATTGCTTGGTAAGTTACGATTTATTGACTTCACATTTGTCTCTTTCTAGAATTCCCTTTTATAAAAATAGAAAATTTCAGGTCATTGGTAAAAAGCTAAATGTTTTGAAAGAGTGATATATAAAGTTTGAGCTGAAGAACCATGAATGAGCCCCGGATGTTCAAACCAATGTAATTAATATCATCTAATATCCATAGAGCTGGCATTTGAAGTTATGACAGTGATAATTTTTTTGTGCTTAGCAATCTTAAAATACTAGCTTGCCTATATAAAAGGAACCTATAGAGAGAGTACCTTCAATCTCTGGCAGTCATATTGCTGAACGACATTTCCTAGCTTTCCTAAGAAAATTTGTGAATAGTGATGAATGCTAGGCATCTTCTCCTTGTTTAAGATATTAAGAGCTTCATAAGGTCTGGTCACTTTATCTCCTACATACCCAGAACTAGAATCCCAAGTACAAATCTGAATTTGTCCTTTTTTCAAATATCCCTCCCCCCTCCAGCAATGATTGTATCTTCATACAAGACTGTATCTTATCTTCCTAATTCAGTTATATAGAAGTCTGAAAACACCTGAACATACTTCTAAGGTGTGATCTGCATTCTGTCTCTCCTCACTTATAGCTACAAAAAAGGAAATGCCTTCTGAAAACAAGAACCAACTAAATAACAACTTATCCACCCCAAACAGAATACCCATGTTCATACACATTACATAGCTTTTCTTCCAGTAAGTTGGAACTGTGAAAAAACAAGATCATCTGGATGCAAAAAAAGTATCTGCCATGGAAGAAGGTTTGAGACACTTTTACCAGCTGCCTAAACGTACTGCATTAAAATGAATAGCAAAAAACCTCAGTCCTAACTTGTCCATCTGTCCAATTCTAGGTAGATTGGGTGGATTTTTTTTTTACCTTCACTTGAACTTTCATTCTGTCTGGTGTTTCTTCCTTACTTCATAAATTGGAGCTTCACAAGCTGGAGTTGCACTCATAAATCAGTGCTGCACTCTCTCTTTTCCAGTCCCTGAAAGCTGCTTCAAGTATCGCAGACACACAGAAAGAAAGTCCATTCAAAACTCAAAAGAACACTTTGCTTGATCCTTGGACTACACTATTGGTTAATGTTCCACTTTCTTCTATCAGAGACTGGCAGCTGACTTTATGACCCAAGTTCTTTTGAGGATTCTTGAAGTTACATACTAAGACTCTCTTGCAAAATACATAAACAACAGACAGGCCAAGGGGCAGGGTCAAACTATCCAGTTTGGTCTGTTATGAAATCCAGCATGTGCTTCTCCACCTCAGATGAAACACTGCATGGTTCCTCCCTGCCCATAAGTTAAAATAATATATGTGAAGGAGTAGAGTTTCAAACTTTTTGGAACCTTCCTATTTTGGGGAGGAACTGATCAGACACCACAAGTAGCTAAACTTGGTTTTTCAAGAGTAGGGTGTGTGTGTGTGTGTGTGTGTGTGTGTACACAAGGCTGAATATAGTGTGCCTTTGGCACTGTTATCACATATTCCACAAAGGAAAAAATAGCTAATACTTGAATTTTTGACCCTAAATTCTTTGCACAAAGAAAACAGATCAACTTAGATTATCACACCTTCTGAATGTAACTCAATATAATTCTTTAGTCTATTTTCTTGACATTTTAACAAGGGATGTACAAAATAAAAAACGCTGAGCAAAGCTTTCTCATATTGTTATATATATAAAAAAATAGAAAACTGAGACAAGTTGGGGGTTGCTTGGTTTTTTGTTTTTTTGTCAGAGACGGGCAGGCAGTCAAGGCACACCAAAAATCCATATATTACGTAATAGCCTCAGAGAAGACACTAAAGAGAATATGCATCAACAGTCACAAAAACAAAAGCTTGCATTAATTCCAGGATAGAGGTATGAGAAAACTCGGACAAGATCCACTCTAATTCACTGACATGTAGAGGAAGGACTAGAAAACACAGCCAAGCTTCCCTTTCACATTCTGTTATTATAACCTGCATTAATTCAATATTTGTTTAATATTTTTTCCTGATCTGGTCTATTTTGAAAGGATGATACTCAATTTACAGAAAAATAGCCAAGAAGATATAAATATATATATTCTTAGCCTGCCCTTGTACAAATAATCAGACTTTGTGCTCAGATTAAGCACAGCAAATAATGGTTAATTTAAAAAACAAGTCTATGGGGGAAGAAAAGCTTAGGGCTAATACACATACACTTTGCAGGTTTAGCTTTCATCTTTAATCATCAACAAATCCTTACTGTTTTGTATCTGAAAATCCAAAAACTCAACAGGGCAAAAGTATCTTCAATATGCACACATCATGTACTTCTGCTTTTGGCAGATTTCCAAAAAGTGTTACCCACACAAGCCATTGACTACACTTCAGCAGAGTGAAGGATTTAAGGACAACAAAAGAACCAGTTAAAGATCTTTTTAGTCAAGAGCTCTGTGATGCATTTCACCAATTCAGCTTCACTCCCACTTTCATTTTTCAAGTAGTAAGGGCAGAACCTATTCCTACTATTTCATTAGCCATTCAGAACATCCCCATAGCTCAAAAATTAAAGTTATTCACGGGGTAGCTGAACACTTTAGAACAAAAGTGGACAAGTTCTGGTTTTTCGAGCTCTGGACCAAACTCTGGAACAGAGAGATTTATTTGGAGCATGGAATATTTTGCACACCTGTACTCTTAAAAAAAAAAGCAAAAGCAAACAAGCCATTTTATTCTCTCCCTGCAAAGTCAAGTTTTCAGAAGGTGGTTTAATGGCAAAACAGTATTTGGCAGGTCCTCAAAATTCTACGAGAAACTCAGGACCACTACTATGCTTCAAAAGCAAGTGTCACATTCAGTCAGAATCACAAGCATGTTACAGCAAAGAATTTGGTCTGAAAGAGGTTTAATTCAGCAAAGATTTGTAATGGTTATTATTTGGCCAATAACCACCTTTGAAGTAAAGCTTCTTCTTCTTGCTATTATTAATCCATAGCTTTCTGAGGTGGCAGATCTAAAAGAAACCCCATTGAATAGTAGTCTAATCTGACCAACGTATTCATTACAACAATACAACGTATTTTTACTTTCTTAAAAATATGGAACATTACAAATTCAACTACCTAAAACCCCATTTTTTTCCATTCAAAAATTTATTTGGCTCAAGCACCTGACACAAAACTAGGGAGGCACAGCTCGTTTACACCTGCATATTCATTACTTCAGAAGTTTAAGAGGTTTCTACCTAGAAGCTAAGATACAAACTAAAATAGAAGCATACAGTATTGTTCAAATGCAGACTATAGCTATCATGAGAATTGAAGCTAAAACAACCAACTCTTCCCAAAATAATTGACTTGGCCACTAACTCATTTTTGTTTCATATATTTCATATGTAAAGCTATTTCATTATTATTTGTCCTTTGCACAACTTCCAAAGCATTCCAAAGGTAAATCCTCTGAATCATGAATAATTTTAACAATAATTTATCTTATTAAAGAGATAATTGGTATCTTACAATACTGTCTTGTTTTTTTTCCCCAGAATATACCCAGCTCTGCATTTGTGCATGACTAGTGGAAAAAGTACCTGTAATTGTTTGATGTATTGGTGACATATGTAAGAAATATATATTGCATTTTTCCACTTTAAATATTATTTCTTACACAGTAAAAAGTAACATTCCTTTCCCCTCCCCAAAAATCAGGGTAATCACAATTCTCTGAATTGTTCACAGGACAACCTACATGTGTATATGATAGACAAGACAAGACAGAAGTAAAACTTAAAGGAGCTCAAGAATGCGAAACTCATTTGACACAATTTAAATCCCAGAAATGGTTTTAATTCTTTACACTTTTATTGATCCTTATACATATAAATCAGTAATATGTTAAAGTCCTAACATAAGTGATTGACACAGCTGGACTTGTCCAAGAACTCAGGTAACTTTTCTTCCCATATGGTTTTATCCAGTGTTGTCTTTTTCTGAGAGGTATGTGCCAAAACACCAACAAGAGGTAAGGGGGGAAAAAATCAGTGCTAGTTTTCAATCTTTCTCTGGTTCTTATTTTTTCACATGCTGGAAACATTTATTCATTCGACATTGAACCCAATAAAAACTTTACGTAATTTTATTCAATGATTTTCCATATTAAAGATGCATACATCACAATAGAAAAGCCATCTTACTTACCTTCTTCATTCTCATCACTAAAATGAACTTTTTGTAGGCTTAAGCTACTGGATTACATACTGAATTTTCCATCTACATCACAATCAGATAAAACCTGCTTTGCCCTAACAGCTAATGGAAACAATGCTGGAAAGTAATGATTACAATTGTCCATGTGCTTGCAATTAAAAACTTTAATGGGAACAGGGAAAAAGATGAACTCTGAAAACTCTGGTGGCATACTTGTACTGCAGTTAAACTGAAGAGACTACAACTTATTCTCAAAAACATGTGACAATTTGGTTTCAAGTTTATATACCACATTAAAGAAATGATTAACATTCAGAATGTTACTTGTTTGTTGTTTTAAGTAGCAGCTTAGTTCAGAATAGAAGTTTTCCAATGGAAAAATATCCAACAGTTCATTGTAGATCTCTTTTACTAAAATAGGCTCTGACTTGTTCACACTGAGATAACCAAAAAACATTTTCACTATTTTTCTTGCTAATCTTTTTCTTGCTAATCTCAATAGACTTGTTTCTTCTTAATAGTTGTTGCAACAAAATATTGATAGAACAATTATCATTAAAAAAGCTTGTTGTTTGTATATAGGCTAGTGGGGCCTTATATCTTTTTGTTCAAGTAGGATGTACTTCAGAAAGCAAGAAAAAAGTCAAATATCTGATTTACAATGCACATTTTAATTATTAAAATACAATATCAACTTTTGGCTATCAAAGAATGTGTTTCTAAGTAACCTTATGCATTTTTCAGATAGTAGTTCCTTTTACAAAGGTAGCTTCTTTTGGTAATTTGTTCCTCGTCTTATTTTCCCAGACTTTAGTCCATGACTCAAAATAATGAAATAACGCTGGTAAAGGAACAGGAATGTTTAGGCTGATGAAATCTTGTAAGAGTAACTTTCTTTCATTCCATAGCAAACAAATAAATGGAGAAGCATGGAGGAAAAAGGAAACGATATTTGCTTTTTCTTCTGTATTGAAGAGTTCGATAGTGAATTCTAATGAAATACAGCAACCAAAATTTAAGTACAAAATTAGAAAGAGGCTGCTATACAGCATTTGTATTTTTAAGAGGGAAAAATATCTGCAATTGCTAACCAAAACTTAAGCATCTTAGTACAAAGACTAATGTTCAGTAGCCTTATTTTTGAATAAGCATGCAAAACTAACTTTATAGCTTATATGCAGTTACCAGTATCATTTAACATGAAATGAATTGCATAAGTATTGGAAAAATATGGAAAGTCAGTGAACCGTCATTATAAGTCTTATAATAAGACTTATTAGGTAAGTCTTATTATATATTACTTTCTACGAGGAAAATTATTTCAACACACCTTATTTTAAAAAGTCTACAAATATTGCCTATGCTTGTTTATCGATATGCAAGTTTACTGAAATGGCAAAGTGAAAATACCATTATAAATAAGAAATCATATATGTGAATTATTTTCATTGTATAAACAGTAATTCTTTTGTTTTTAAGAAGTCAGTAGAAATTTTATTAGACAGTGAAGGTAATTTAAAATGCTCAAGTTGTGGTGTATTTTTTAAAGCCTTGTAATCTGAATAAAAATTAACAATTATCAGAATTCTACTGAAGATATCGAACAATCATCATTAAGAAAATGATAGCAGTCAGTATTTAAAAAATAATCAAACTTTTATAGTATGCAAGTTTTTAACTATACAGTATGGTTAGGCAAAATATTCAGTGCATAGAACAGAGAGTTCTGAATATTCTATGCCAGACTAAAACTCCTATGTTTGGTCTGTGTACAGATCTGGAATCAGTGTTTGGTGTGAATAAAGAACATGTGTTCTAGGTTGAAGTGTTGGATGGCAGTTGAATGATCAGGAAACCACTGATGGCAACAGGCACCCAAGGGAAAATGTGAGGCAAACTACGTGAACACAGGCAGCAGGCAGCTAAAAGAGCACAATGGAGGGAAAGGAAGCACAAGGTGGGGAAGGAATGGACCAGTTGAATATGCACTGAAGTGGTGACTCAAGAGAAAGTATAGCAAGACTGGGGTAATGGGGAACACTGACTTGTATCCGAGTATGATGGTAGTGGTGTGCAAAACAGAGTAGGTAGAGTAAATAAAAATAGGGCAGCCATGGGGACTACATGGATAGGAAGAGAAAGGAGATTTAAGTGTAGCAGCTTTACTTTATTCATCCTTTAAGACTCTTCTAGATTTGTTTCAGTCTAAATCTGTTAAAAATTAAGACATTCCAAGCTGACTGCAACTTCCCTCCTGGTACAATCCAGTTTCAAGCCACTTTCTGTAAATATAGCCAGAACCTACATCAGTTCGTCCCTCATGTAGGTTTCCTATCATTTTCCATCATGATTCTTCAAGTTGCCTGCAATTTGCTAGAACTTTTTAACATTACCCAAGTAACCAGTTATAATAAAAATAACTGATTTAAATTACTCTCAGCAACAAAATTTATTACTATGGAAATTCTTGGAAGAAAGTGTTGGCCGTAGTAATTTCAGTTTTGCAGAGATTTGCAATTTTATTTTGCTGTTAAATCTTTTCTATCCATAACTAAAACACACATATAACTTGTACTCTTTTCCATGGCAGTATAATAGCACATACCCCTTTTTAGAACGTTGCACACTTTTCATTTATACTGGCAATGAGCTAAAGCAATTTTGTTCATATGTATCAGTTTTTGTAAACTCCTTTAATCCTCTAAATTTCACAAGCTACTGGTTTTATACATTGATAACTTCTCTAGTTAAGTCTTTGATGAATTCTATAGTATACGACTCCTTCATTTTAGAAGAATTTAGAAGTTATCCTTTCTTCAAAATATATTTAATACCTTTGTAGTTTCAACTCTGCTTACACTTTCAAGAAACAGTGCAAAACAGTAACCATACTCCATAATTTATACCAACAAATTACTCTTCAGGTTTCCATTTCTGATAGTGAGGTGTTACTTGAGGATCTTGATTCTGTTATGGAGCCTTTTTCTAATTCTTGAATATCAGACAAATCAATGGTAGGTAATGGTAACTTCCAGAACTGGAAGGAGTTGTAGTGCCAAACGTCATCTTCAGGCTATGAAAACAAAATGTTCAAACAAAATCTAATTAAAATAATGCCAGAAATTAAGACCTCATAGACAAAGAAAGAACATAGTATGGAGAAATATTCACACAAATATTCAAGAGTTCTCTAGTTTCCATCATTGTAGCAGCTCAATCAAATTAAAATTGATTTACAACAATGGAAACAACTGCATTTTTCTGTGTGCACTTTCTTTTAAAGACTCTTACTTCCAAGTAATAAATGTGATGTATTTATGTGTTATATAGCAATCAAAGACAGAAGTTGCTCAACACAGAACTTAGAAAATTTGACTTGTATCACCCTCTGGTGGCTTGAAGTGGCAAAATAATATTAAATACTATTTTGCATTCTGAATAGTTCATAGTTTGCCAAAAAATGTGGTTGTCTATAATTAGAATTATGCCACTTCATTAAATTTATATCTAATTTTTGGATCTTGGAAGACACAAAAAGATTATGCATATGAAAAAAAATATTTTAATTCATTATGTGGTAACCAGAACCTGGCAGATCATTCACCATTAAAAAGGAATTAAATGTTTCTATTTCTCTCCTTTATTCTGTCTTTGAGTGATTGACATTGTACGTGTATAACAATCTGATCAGGACTGAACAATGAGGCTTTAAATTTGTTTATAGACAAGCTATGGGATGAAATCATTTATTGCATTTAAGAGAAGGAGATAAATTACTAAAATAATTTAAATTATGTTTAAGGGAATTCATTTCTTTATATATTTCTTTTCTTTTTCTTTACTATATACTAAAAGACTGAACAGTCTTAAAAAATTAAATGGTCTCAATTAGGTGGTTAGTCTTTGGTTGGGAAACCATTCCATGGCTACAGCCTACAACAAGCAGCCCCAAAGAAATTTACAGCAAATAGCAGTAGACTTATATACCGCTTCATAGGCCTTTCAGGCCTCTCTAAGCGGTTTACAGAGAGTCAGCATATTGCCCCCAACAATCTG